GGCGATCGCCGTCCCATTCGGGTGAATCCATGCCACCATCAAACTGCAAAAACAGAAAATACGACACAGTAAACACCGGGGTACAGATTAGAGATTATTTAAAATGTGCTCTTATCTTAAAAGAGGAGCCTTGAAGACCGATTAACTTTCCCAGGGGCTTGTTGGCCAATGAAACGACATACCTGAGGTAGTTCAAATCTGCCCCCGTCACTTGCAAGATGACCGTTTGATTGATTAGCTCGTCTTGCCGAGGGGTTGCCAGCACCTTCGTGGGTTGGCGAGCGCCGGCAAGAGTGCACGAGATTCTCCATGCGTTCCAGCAGTGTATCCCTGGCCAGACAACGGAGTCGCTCATCTCCATTCAATTTCTCCTCAGAGACTGATGAACGAGTCTCTTGCGCACGCATTACTGTCTTCTCCTTGCACTTGGAACAGTAGATGGTGAAGGGCCTCAGTTGACTGGGAGATAACTGAGCAATCAGTTCGTATTGATCCACTACAAAGGAGCAACAACATTGAGCATTTGGAAAAGAATAGTCGTGCTTCGAAGGGGCGTATTAACAGCAATACTGAACACGACTTACCAGTGAGCTTTGCGCAGGCGCGATGGCGCCACAGCCGGCAAGAGTCACATTGAACCATTTCCAACGTATCACGCAAGTAGGCCCGATTGCATTCTGGGCAGATTTGACCGTTGGCCTCAGCATCACTGCAATCGGCGCACTTGGAGATATCACTTGACCAGGGCACCATAGTGGCCGAAAAATCCCCGGTGCGTTGCTTAGCAACCGTCAAATCGGTTGGCTTCACTAAACAGTGAAGACAGTGAGTGCAGTCAGGGCACACCTAAAATAAGCAATGAACGCTAATTGAGCAAAAACCAAACAAACGAAAAAAAATTAAAAGTTGCGGTAGCAAGGTCGAAAAACTTTAGGCTAAAAGTAAGTCGTACGCTATATGGCAATGACTAGAGATTCTGGATTAAAATCCCAGAGTTGGATACGGCTGGCTGACAAAGACTTATAGGCCAGTAGTCCTTCTTGGAACAGAAAAGGCATTTTAAGCCGTTCAGCTGCCACAATCCTTGCTCAAGGGAAGTTCGCCAAGTCTTCCATCTTAGAAATGCGTCATATTTAAGACGTCTTGTGAATGGTCATTCGTATCCACGAACAGTACGCACAAGAAGAGAGATAGATAGAGAGAGAAGGCAAGTCCTACTTCTGAAAGTGAACATGTTACCGGTAGATGACCCTTGAAGAAGCTAATGAACACCTCAGGATAGGCATATTTACGGTCTGGTGCGACAACTAGTGAAATCGATAACCGAGACTGCAGAGGCATCCGGAGAGTTTATTGCTGACTTAGATCGATATAGCTAACAGGTTTTACTGGGGGTTTGGCAGATTCCAATAATTTCGGTTGGCCCACCTGTGAAAAACTCGCGGCCTCGGTGAGGGTCGAACCCACACAACAGGGAAGGTTTTTGCGCAGCCAACGCTCTACCATTGAGCTACGAGGCTAACCGTGAATTTAATCACACTCGGGTCGATCAGCAGGTGGCGCAAGTGAAGCCTAAGTCACCATAGCAGCATCCTCGAGACGGTGGTGGATATTGTCGCCTGCGATGGTCAAAATATCGGTCGAGATGGTAAAAACTTCAGCGGTATAT